ATATAAAATAGTTTGTACCACTGAGGATTACAGAAATGTGATTAATATAATCAGAAATAATTTAGATTCAACTCTAATCCGGTGATTGCATAAAATAATTATCAATAACTTCACCTCTGTAGACAAAAATGTAATAACCTCATTTTGAGAAAAATAATTAATTAACGAAACACATCCTGGATCCTCTAAGAACATTTTATTTAAAACATTTCAACAAACAAGAAATTTGATCAGTTAGAACTAATATTTTTAATTTTCCAATCCTTCCTAAAGTTGAAGAAGTTCACTTTAAAATTTTAAATGAAAAATACCTTTCACAAGAATTCAATTAAACATATTCTAATTTGAAACGGAGACATGACAGTTCTGTAAATCATCAGTGGAACAAACTGAACATTTGTTTTTTTAACGTGAGATTTCACAGATTTTGGAAAGAAGAACACAACTGGTTCATCACCAAGTCTCTGCAAATACGTCCCTTTTCCTGGAAAGATATTAAATATGGAATATCAATTAAAATATGAATATTTAACAAATAATATCACATCGTTGGCTAAATTTTATATTCACAAACGTTTCACAAAATCTCTTCCAATTGATAAAGCATTGAAGATGAATTTAATCTGATTTAAACCCATTTTTATTTCAGTATTATTGTTTTATTTTTATTTATTTTCCCTTGGTTTTGATATTTATTGTTGTGTTGTTTTTTTTTTTCTTTTGTTGTTGCTTGATTTACTTTTACTAAAGATTTCTAAGTCAGTTGGTTTACTTAGTTAATATTCATGGTGATCTCTTAAACTTTTCATAATTTGACGTTAAGGAGGAATTATATAGAATAGATAATTAGAATAGATAATTAGATAGATCATTAAAAGATATGTAAATGTGAAATGGTCGTTAACATATGTAGGTTTATTTTTGTCTTTGTTCATTTATTGATTGATTCAATAAAAAAACCATGTTGGATGTCACAGTCCCGATGCAGAGGCACAGGTCGATGATGTAATCTGTACTGTCCCAGTTCTCTACTGTTTTACACACCTGTAACCTGTGCACACCAACACTGTGTGCACTTGGACTGGTGTGGGGGGGCTCTGAGCACTGAGACTGGACCCTTCTTGTCCTCATGGAGTTAGTTTCTTCTTCTGCTGATCTAATGTGTGTCTTCTGTTCAGGGTCCGGATGGGAGACGTGGTCCTCCTGGTGGGAAGGTCAGGAAGCAAAGCAGCACACAGCTGATGTCAGCAGAACCAGGAACTCTGTTATATTGTTAACTGTTTGTGGTTCTGCAGGGCCTAAACGGACCAAAAGGTTCTGATGGACAGCCAGGTCTTCAAGGTGCTTCTGGACCTCAGGTGAGTCTTCAGGACCTACAGCACCAGGGTTCAAACAGGACTTCTGTGTGTGTGTGTGTGTGTGTGTGTGTGTGTGTGTGTGTGTGTGTGTGTG